AAAATACTCAATTGAATGTAGAAACCAAAAATCAAGCTTCAAATCGTCATATTCTTTGAGTTGTGGGTCAGTATTACAGTCTCATTTTTTGTGGGTAACCATAGCAACATATAGTTCTCTGTACTACTGGTATATTACTCTCAAGGTATTATAAATAGGTAGATAGATAAAGAATAAGATCAAGATCAAGATCAAGTTCAAGTTCAAGATCAGGATTAAGATTAAGATTAAGACCAAGACCAAGATTCAGATTAAGACCAAGATCAAGGCAAAGATTACGATCAAGACCAAGATCAAGATTAAGATAAAGATCGAAATCAAGTCCATAACAAGACCAAGACTAAAACCAAGATCAGACCAAGACCAAGACCGAGATTAAAACTAAGGCAAAGACCAAAACCAAGATTAAGATCAAGACCAAGGCCAAGATTAAGACAAAGAAATAGATTAAGTCTCAGACCAAGATCAATGTATGTATCGAGATCAAGATTTTTAATTTCAACAGAAAATGAAAATCTTGATTAGAATAAATACCTTGACAATTGTGGAGATGACCTGACCACGGGGATGATTCCTGTTTCCGGTCATGGTCTGGGACTGTACTTTTATACCTTGATATTATTATTATTATTATTACTATAATTATTATAATTATTATCATTATATTTATGTAGTTTTCAAATATTTTCAAGATAAATTATTAAGTTCTTATTACTTCCATCATCACTTTCGTACATAGACACTCCAACCTTGACTTCCATAGATACTTGTCTAAACAATAGTTAACTAAGTAATTAACTATATCAATCAATCAATCGATCAAATATATCAATAAATTAATCAAATATATCAATCAATTAATCAACTAAATCAATCAATTAGTCAACAAAATCAATTAATTATTCAACTATATCAATCAATTTATCAACTAAATCAATCAATTAATCAACTATATCAATCAATTAATCAAGTATATAAATCAATTAATCAACTAAATCAATCAATTAATCAACTATAACAATCAATTAAACAACTAAATCAATCAATTAATCAGCTAAATCAATTAATTAATCAACTAAATCAATCAATTAATCAACTTTATTAATCAATTAATCAATATTATATTATGGTTTACCAACCACGCCACGCATCAAATTCTCCTATTTTAAGGGATTTCCAAAATGTGGTCTGGCGTTTTTGTTTTGATTTTGAGAAATTTGTCTAAAATTCTAAATATTTAATACATCCAAGATTGTTTAATTCTCCAACAGTATTTATAAAACAAAGAAGGAGGTTAAATTTTACTAAGTTTTATAATGTATTTCTTTACTCCTTTGGCATCTATTATATTTACGAAAATGAAAACAAATTGTAAGTCCAGGGTCCAATGTCTAATGTACTTCATAGAAAAGTACATGAAAACTTGTCTATGATACTATTCATGTTACAAGATTCTTACTTGTACTGTAGGGAAGGAAAGAGTTCACTGTATTGTCCTTGTCTGAAAACAAAAGAAGATTAGCAATCTAAAGATATATATTCACTTTACTTGTTGGTGCCATTGAAATTCTTATTTTTCTTTTTACAAAATGCAACGCTAAGACACTTTTCGAGAAATAAATTTAAAATTTAATTTCGTTGATTTATTTTATTGGAAAATGAAAAATAAGGCTTAAGTAATTAAATATATTTATAATCCTCAAGCTGGGTTTATCTGTACCTAGAGCTAGGTTTATCTATACCTAGAGCTAGGTTTATCTATACCTAGAGCTAGGTTTATCTATACCTAGAGCTAGGTTTATCTATACCTAGAGCTAGGTTTATCTATACCTAGGTTTATCTATACCTGGAGCTAGGTTTATCTATACCTAGAGCTAGGTTGAGTAAAGAGTAGGTTTCCAGGAACTATATGAGATTTGACCACCTCTTGATCCACTAATCCTTTATCCAGACCCTGATTATCATAATCATATAATTACAATACAAATAGGTGTCGCATTTTCAAAATTTAGGGATTTTCGTTCACAATAACTCTGAGGTAGAAGCCCAAAGAATTTACGGGCATGCTCTCTCTCTCTATCTGTATTGTCATTCTAAGCAGCATGAGCGTAACTCCTTTGGGCTTCTCTCTCAGGGTTATTGTGTACGAAAAACCCCTAAATCTTGAAAAAAAAAAATATAGTGTTCAAACTGTATTTTTATTAATCTATGATCATAATTATACAACTTGAAAGATATAAAAATAGTTAAATGTATCAGTCAGAATACATAAGCTACGGCTTAGTGCTTTCTCCTATGATTAACATCTGGCCTCCTTGTATTAACAAACAATATGTAAATGAAATTTAAAAAGAATATCATTATATCTAATATCTACATAATAACGCTCTTCGCTCATAATATATATATTCATATGATAGCTATAACTGGTAAAACGGCTGAATAAAATTAACTGATTGTTATAAGAAAACCCGTGGATACCATTGGGTTAACAAAGATTTAAATGAATATTTAACATTTTTTCTTCAAAATTCAAAATTCGAAACTGTTTTATTTCAACGCCGGGCACTTCAGCCAGTTATATAATTGGTGAATAATATCCGATATTAATAATAAAAATTATAAACTATATGATGACTAGAGTATAGAGTACCTGGAAAGCTGAATCTACTGGCAGGAAGAAAGTATATTTTCCATATTGTTCAAACTCAGGAAACTTGTCCATTCCTAGACTTCTTATCTGCTCAGTATACTTATCAATAGAATACTCACCTAGCCTGCACAATAGTGGATACTTAGATACTTAGATAATTAGATAATAAGACAATTAGATAATTAGACAATAACATAATTATTGGATAATTAGATAATTAGATAATAAGACAATCAGATAATTAGATAATTAGATAATTAGACAATAACATAATCATTGAATAATTAGATAATTAGATAATTAAATAATTAGTTAATTAGATAATTAGATAATGAGAAAAGAAAGCTAATTCAAATAAAAACAGGGTTCGGAAAAAAGCAAGATCTTTTTAGAAATAGTTCTTTCTTGTAAAGTGGCAAATTACAAGGACATCCCTTTTCTTTTTTCAAAATTACCCAATATATGATTGAAAGATGTATGAAAGATGTAGGAGCAAGAAGAAAATAAAGAACAAGAAATATAGAAATCTCAAAATATTCTAATCTGATATCAAATAAATATTTTAAAATATTGTAAAATTTTAACTAAAATAAATCATTAAAGTTAAAAATATGTGAATTTCCCTACTTGTATTTTTGAGTATTATTAAGAATATCACCAGCCTAAAGTTGAATTCATGTTTTGTCAGACAAAACAAAAGATTTTTTAAAAAAATCATAAAAATAAATCAGAACAAGATAATTTTAAATCTAGGATTAAGTAGGGTTGAAATGTTTTTTAGAATTTTTTTAAAAATCATAAAAATGAAGAAATTCTTTCAGATGGGATTAAAATTAAATAGATGGGCAAAAGAAAAAAATGACACAAATATAATGAAATGATATACTATTTTTTTGTAATTCTAAATATTAAAAATATCATCAAATAATTGTAAATGCTATGCTAAATGATAAAAAAGTAAAAGCAAATGAAGCAATTGAAGGAATGCAGGAAATGCATGAAATGCATATATATCTATGTATGCATGAATTGTTCCTTTATATCAACATAGTCTGCCACACTGTTCTCTGCTTGTGGAATCAAGGGTTCAAGAACAGAATCTAAATGTTAGAAATCACTATCAGGGGCTTAAGAACAGAATCTAAATGTTAGAAATAACTATCAGGGGCTCAAGAACAGAATACAAATGTTAGAAATTACTATAAGGGGCTCAAGAACAGAATCTAAATGTTAGAAATTACTATCAGGGGTTCAAGAAAAGAATCTAAATGTTAGAAATAACTATCAGGGGTTCAAGAACAGAATCTAAATGTTACAAATTAATATCAGGGGTTCAAGAACAGAATCTGAATGTTAGAAATTACTAAAAAGGGGTTCAAGAACAGAATCTAAATGTTACAAATTACTATCAGGGGTTCAAGAACAGAATCTAAATGTTAGAAATTACAAAAAGGGGTTCAAGAACAGAATCTAAATGTTAGAAATTACTAAAAGGGGTTCGAGAACAGAAACTAAATGTTAGAAATAACTATCAGGGGTTCAAGAACAGAATCTAAATGTTAGAAATTACAGAAAGGGGTTCACATCAGGCCCACATTTTTTTGTGGAAACTCGGACTCACATGACCGAGGGAGAGTTATAGGCCGGTTAAAGTTGAAAAAAATACGTAGAAAAATCCCGTTTTTCATTTGTTTTAGACATTCATCAATGTAAACAGAAAAGTCTGATAAATTTAAAGTTAAATAATGTACTAAAAATGGCATCTTTAGAAGCAAAAATCGTCACTAAAAAAGAGGCGCACTGCAAGCCTAATATTTCCTTTATAAAGTTACCTATAAGATAAAGAAACTGTTTGTTCCCAGTATCAGTAGTTACAGGGAGAACTAGGGATACTTTAGCCTGGTTCACGTACAGTTCAGAGTTCTTCCTCCTGTACAGTACATCATAATTGTAGATACGACATAAATGAGAGTTCAACCTTCCTCGTGTACAGTATCACATGAATTTCAGAGTACAACATAATTTAGATGCGGCAAAATGAGAGTACATACAGCTAGCTAGAAACCCTTCCTCCTGTATATTACAAGATAATCGTACAATATGTATAGACGGGAATCATTGAGGAGACTCATTCTCCCCTACAGTAAACATGAATTGTACATAATATAAAGATGCGACATAATTAAGAGTACAGACAAAACCCTTCTTCCTGTACATTTTACATGATAGTTGTGCAACATATATAGGTGGGAATTATTGAGGAAATTATTTCTCCTGTACAGTAAATATGAATTATACATAATATATAGATGCGGCATAATTAAGAGTACAGACAAAACCCTTTCTCCTGTACAGTACATGATGATTGTACACATATTTAGATGCGGCATATATTAGAGAACAGACGGAAACCCTTCCTCCTGTACATTACATAAATTGTACACTGTACAGAATATAAAAATGGGAATATATGAGAGTATAGATGGGAACCCTTCCTATTTACAGTAACCATGAATTGTACAGAATGTACAAATGGGAATAAACGAGAGTACAAGCTAAAACTTTCCTCCTGCACATTATTCATATTTTTATTCAACTACAAAGCACGAGATAATACAAATAAAAAATTACAATTTTCTATGTAGTTTGGACCCGCCTAACCAGAGTAGATTGTCTTAATTGGTTGGCCCACTATAAACGAATGAGAATTGCAAATGAAAAACAATGTACTTTGTACATTTTAAAAGAATGATGATAAATCAGGAAAAAGGTAAGGAGGAGGTGAGGGAGTATAAGGGAAAGGGAGGATACTCAGCGTAAGGGTTGGAACAGAGGGTAACATATGTTATTAAAATCATGTTTATGAACTACAGGGTGAAGAATATAGTAAAGACTAAGTTTATCCACATGATACACAGTTTTTTTTTACAGATATAATTTGCATAACTATCTAAATAGATATTGGCGACTTTACTTTTAAACAATTTTGCAGATTAAGTTTTTTTCAGCTCTAATTCAATCGAATTCCATATTTTTGGAAATAAAGCAGAGGGAAAACATTCTAGAGTTTTAAAGAGAACCCGTTCAAGTTTATATGATTTTGTTCTATTTGGTTCAGCTAAAGAATTAAACATATCCTGGAAGGAAGCTGGAAGGTTTTCATAAAATTATTTATGCATAAAAGATAGAACACCTAGTTTATTATATGTATCATCATTATACATGATAATTATACAGAATATGAAGAAGGAAATACAAATAATAGTACAGGTCTCTTAATTTGAAAACAAAAATATATAAAATGTTGTAAACATTAATCATCATAGGCCTGTAAGCTCGATAACTTGATGTGCAATGAGCTGTAAAGTATGGAAATGGTGTTAAATCGGAATATACAAAAGAAACATTATTTACATAAATCTTAAAAATGGATAAATCTAGATAAATCTAGATAAATCTAGATAATCTAGTTAATCTACAGGGTGTCCCACGAACCATGAGATAACAAGACGATTTGAGAGCCGTCTTTGAAACTTATTTATTTGTGATATTCAGTCGTAAACCTTTTACTTTAACATATATAATTCTTGAAACAATGACCACCAAATTATCCTAGTCCTGGCATTTCTAAAATGTGTTCTGCTTTTTTTTGTGCTGTCAATATTACCAGAGATATTGAGAAGTTTGTTCAAATTTCAATTTTATTAAACAAATCCAAAATTGTCGAAATCTTATCAAAATTCTTCATATTATAGGGATAGTTTGTGATTATTAACTCTAGAATGTTACTGATTAAATTTCGGCTACGAATAAAAAGCGTAAATGTTTTCCAAAGATGAAAGACGACAATTCAGTCGGCTTGCAACTGTCATATTGCGTGGGACACCATGGACATAAATCTAGAAAAAATCAGATCTGATTACCTGACCCAGAGTGGTGGATGACCCTGTAGCAGGCTGGTCAATCTTTCCTCCAGTTCATCCTCACTAATAGCAGTGTTCACTTAACATATACAAACTTTATCTTTAAACTAAAGATAATTCAAATTTTTAAATAATATTTTTGATTTTAAGGAAACTTCAGAGTTTAAACAATGTATAAACTTTAAATCCTTTTCACAATTTTATTTCGGGGAAAAAAGCCGATTTATTTTAATGAATATTTTTAGATAGAAATGTCTTTATTATTACATTGCATGCAAGAAATATGCTAAGGATTAACAGCCTTCAAAATTTGGAATCATTTTAAAGGTTCTTAATAAGGGGCGTATACAGGTTTTTTCACTATCCTAAGAGGGGTATAGGTGGGAATCAGTTTATCCTCCTTCTGAGTGCACCCATCATTTTAATTTTAATCAAACCCTTTCTTTATATCGTAAAAATACAACTATGTACACTAGAAGAATATTACAACTGTTTTTAGAAGTACTTTTAAACAAAAAATCAAATTTATACATTTTTTTTACTTAACTCGAAATAAAGAAGTAAGGAATTTTAAGCAAAATAGAAAATATATTTCGAAAATTATTTATTTATGCAGACAAAATACAAAATGTTAATACCTGTTTGTAGGTTAGAGTGTGGAAAAGCTGATGCTAAAAAATGCGCTATGAATACTTTGCAGCATGGTGTACACAACTTTTTACGGATTTATGGTGTGCATTTTTTCTATGAATTTATCCGCAAAAAGTTGTGCTGATTAATAATTCTGAAGCTGAATGCAGGTTTAACTAAATTTGATAAAATCGACGAGAAATAATGATATTTCAAGGGATATTTTCATGTGACCTTTAATTTCTAGACAGGCATATCAGATTAACAACGGTACCCTTTAAACCTTTCTCCGGACAATGATGAGGAAGATATTCTCAGTTGTATAGCTGAAGATTCAGTGCCGGGAGACTGTGCTTTCCATGCTAATGTACACTCGCGCGGTTTCTTGGCACTTAATTTCCTTCTACATAAATAAGAATATCTACCAAGTCCTTAATAAAACAAAAGTTAGAAGGGTACTGTCGTAAATCGGACATGCCACTCCATAAATGGCACTTGAAAGTAAGCTTCCAATACCTTTAATAAAAGTACATTAACATTTAAATACACTGTAAATTGTACAGGAGACGTGCGGTATTCGTAACCAAATTGAAATCAACTTTTACATATGAAGGAAATGAGTTTATGAAATGTCGTTTTTTCCATTGTATATATTAGGAAATTAATTAGCGTATCCAAATTTAATCGGATCTTGATATGAGGGGCGTGTCGGCAATGACCAACAGAGGTCAACGTAACCATGTTGCGCGCCGGAAAGACTAGAATGGAGATTCAGGCAAGCACAGTTCTCTCCAAGCACATATTTTTTGAATATTCAAACAAAATTCCGGCGGTTATTTGATGATAGACGCCGAAGCAACTGTCACAGCCAAGAAATCGTCGATATAGCGTGCAAATCATGATCAATGACGACCTGGGCACGCCCTACATGCATATTGGGAGGTTGATAGGCACTATCGATTGTCTGGTGAGGAAGATTATGACGGAGGAGATAGGGTACAAATCGTACATCCACCGAAAGAGTATTTAATAATATGCCGCGCGCTAAAGTCGTCAGTGCCTGCTCTGCCGGTTTTATTAGATAAACATGTTCGATATGACTAAATAAACATCCTTTAAAAAAACGTTATCAAAAATTAGTTTTTGTCAGTTTTAAAGAGATTTCAATTTGGTCTATACGAATACCGCACGCACTCTGTATGTATAACTGTCTTTGTTTGAAGTTTGGCACAACATTTATTTACTTTAAAGGTCATTAACAGATTCCCAAGGGTACCCTTAAAAGCTTGATAAAGATGTCCATTTTTATCTAATTAGAATTGACCCATTCACTTAATTAGTGATTTAATAAGTATATAGTAAAACTTTTTGTATTTGTAACAACATCAAGTACACTTAAGTATTTCTATAAAGTTTTCTGTCTATTTCAGTGTTTTCTGGTTATCCCTGTACAATACAATGTGCAGAAGATTAATTGTATTTTTAAGCTTAAAAGTGCTTAATCCTATAAATGATCCTATTATGTTTTCCTGCAGAAGAAATGCGCAAGTCAATTTTTTAACTAACTCACAATTAACAATTAAATCAGTTTTCAAAGGATAAAAAACATTGTCATCTATGTAATTCATTAAATTGAAAAAAAGCTTTTAAGGGTGAATCGGGCATTGTCATCTTTACATGGAGGTTCACTTAAAATTACGCTTACAGTTCCTCTAATATACAACCTCGATTGTGATATCTTTGCAATCTTTGAATTGCACGCGCAGAGTGATGTGATAACTTAGCGTGCGTAAACTGTAAAGGAGCGATCATTAATTCATAATTCATAAATCATAATATGCATTCGGGGTCTCAAAGAATATTTCTATTTAGCAAAGTGTCTGAATTTCATCCGAATATATTTACAAATTTATTATTAGTATCATTGAAATATTAGAAATTATTGTCCATTGTCCAATATTATAAATGTTCAATTGAATTTTTTTCTATCTCCCTTTCAATGCTAAAGCATGATGTTCTACAATCTACAAAGCATTAATGCAGAAACTTAACAAAAGCAAAAAAATATATTCTGCCTTCATGGGTAATTCATTTATGATAACTGATGATTTATATAGATTTAAATGTGCGATTTCAAAAAAAATACTAAAATAAAAAAATGAGAAAATTCAAATAAGAGTTAGAAAATATTTTTATGTAATAATTTGAATCACACTTTAATACATTAGTCGGCGTTTATGTCAGTAAAAATGAAGACGACTTTTTATTTAAGATTTCTGACAAGCCTTTTTCAAATTACAAGTTTGCAAGCTTAAACAAAGATAAGTTGTAATTGGCAACTTCTGTTTGTTTCCATGTTTATGTGAATCCATAAAAAAATCAAAATTAAAATCGAAAGTCGTCTTTATTGTATTGATATACATACGACGACAACTGCATGATATATTTTGGTAAAATGTGGTGTTAGATTGCATAGGAATAATTGTAATGGTTTACCAATATGGTTGAGAAGAAGTGCCTTGTTCCTATCCCCCTTATACTGGTTGAGGGCTGTGTTGGAGGGGGCGAAAAGGGTGAGGTACCCCTCCATGTAGTGCTTGTGCACCCCCTCAGTACTCTCCAGCAACTCGGCAAACTAAATATATGAATATTAATGAACCACCAACCATATTTAAAACGAGTAATGTCTAGTTTATTTGAAACTAAAACTTAAGGCTTCACACGCACCTCTGACCCTTCAGTAAAAGTAAATTCAACCTGAAGTCTGACCGCATCAACCTTGTTGCATCGGCTAGTCCTATTGAGTGTCTGCTTAATTTACTCAATGTCCCGGCAATACAGTACAAAATGTGACCGGAAAGGTTGACCCGGCTCGGAAATTCAGATGTACGACGGCTGCCCGTGTTCATAAAGTTTTGAAATGTATTTAAAACTTGTATGCTCGATACGTTTTTTTTTTTTTTTGCAAAATTTTTATATGAGCCTTAAAATCTTATCTAATCAAGAATGAATAATGTCCTGCCATTTAAAAATATTAATATCCATTGTGGGTTTTCAAAAAAGTGGTTTGTAGAAACCAAGCAGAAACAATGGAGCATCTGAACACTTTTATTAAGCGAGAAATGGAGAATATCTTCCACATTATAGATCATATAGAGCACGGAGGGACACTTGAAAAATAAATATTTTTTTTCAATTTTTTAAAGAATATTTAAATACAGTTAATTATATTATATAAATAACAATTAAAAAATCTGAACTAAAAAATAGATTAAATTATTTGTGAGAACCTGTGAATGAGTGGCTCTATTCTTCAGTAGTTGCAGTACATTACCAGCATTGGAAACAACAACACAGACAAACAATAACACCAAAACTGGTTTCAACATCATTGTAACCTGACAACAAGAACTGAAGTTAGTTGGAGAAAACCTTTGTTAATACTAAGCTGTATGATGTGAAGCCTTAGATGGATATCAATAAAATGTTTTGGATTCACCATAATTTTATACAAAATAAATTTATATATAGACAAATTGTCAGTTAAACTTTAAAAGAATGTTTATTCATATTTTAATCTTTCAAAATCACCGTTTCCAATTGTCAAAAGAATATTTAAAAAATATATATCTTAATTATATATTGGCGACACATATTAAATTGATTAGAAGTGTGTTTGCCTAAACACTGCAATATGAAAGCTGTATCACAATATCACTTTATATAAATCCCCGAGTTTCAGTTTTTGCGGGTTCTCAACAGAATTGTGAATTATTGTCATTGTTGTTTAAAGTTTATCTTCTTTATTCATGTTTTCTCCACACTATTCAATCTCAATTCTGTCCATTATATCCTTAGTCTTTTATAGTTATAAATATTTGCCTGCACGTAAAATTGCCGCTTTAGTGTTTGTAAATTTAACCAGCTGCAGTCTAAAGTCAGATCGAGTCAACCTAGTTGCACCAGCTAGACCTGCCATACAGAGCTAGGCAAACTATATTGACCCCTGCTGTTCTTCTGCCAGTGTGGTTGGTGTACCGTATGGGGCTGTACAAACTAAAGATTCAGCTCGGATTCAATTGAGTGTGTCTGTTATAGTGCTTCGAGTATATTGAAAGCTATCTGGATTGAAATTACCAATAGAAGAAAAATAATAGAATATCAATTAAAACTAATAAATTTACAAATTAACATTTAAACTGACAAACTGTTTGTTAAAATTGTACAAGTACAGATTATAGAACCAAATGAATCTAAACTTTGCTGCAACTGGAAAGTATCAGGAAAGTAGGATGGGTTGATATATCTATCTATCTATCTATCTATCTATCTATCTAGACGGGGTGGTATCAGCTGACCAAAGAAACTTTCTATTCTCCAATATTCCCTTTGGAAACCCTAACCATGCAATCTATCTATCTATCTAAAGATATCTTTCTAATCCACCGGCAAATATTTAAGATACTAGAATAATCATAATAATAATAATAATGATAATAATAAAATAATAATAATAATAATAATAATTATAATAATAATAATGATAACAATAAATCAGCTTGAATTTCGAAATATAAAATTTTATTTTAGGGTTTTTCTTAAATTTTTTTGTGTCTATTGTATGTTGAGATCAGGGGGGCTGGATCTTAGCTACCTCTCCGTGTGTATTGGCTTGAGTGTACACTTGGGATAGTTTACTGATTCATGCAGTAAAAATATTATATGCAGTACGCTTTCGGAATACAAGTGCATGGGCAAGGTACTAATGCAAGGAAAGTTAATTGCGGTCGCGTATACTCTGCATACATATTAAAACCAGTTCTCTCTGCATTCTCAAGAATAGATGCATCAGTGTTCGTTTAGTAACCAGGATGCATATACATTTAGAGGATATTTTAATGAGGATATTTTAAAAACATTTATGTAAAAAACAACGAGTTCTTGAATTTGGAGGCAGTATTTCAATTATATTTTGTTAATTTTAAGGCCATATCATTTGAATGGAATGCTATTTTTAACCCGTTTTTTAAAGGTTTAAAACAGTTGCATGTTTCCATAACTTCTTACCAAAATTTCTATTATTTGTCTTATTTTAACCCATGGATTTAACAATCTTAATCATTAATATGTATAATATAGATGCAAACATTACCCACCGGGCCTATATATTGGTTAGGGAATATTCATAGTGAAATTTGAGAACATTTCTATCAACAATGTTTTGGGACATCTTTTCTCTCACAAAGCGCCACAAAGTACAGATTTAGGTATCGTGAAAAAGCTTAAAATAATACTGTCTCTAGTGTAATCTAGTCATGATGTAATATAATATGATAAAAAGTAAATAAAATTTTTAATGTTTTTGCACTTTTACCAGTAGATTTTATAATGGAATGATTACGCGCGCCAAAAGTGCACGCCCCTAGGCTAAACCTTCACTACGCGCCTGATCGGCAATAGTGTTCTTTCTTAAAAAATGAAAGTTTTGGGAATTCTAAAACTTTAAAAACGTTTCACAATTATCTGACTTATTAACATTTGCTTTTCTACAAAGAGAATAGATTAATATAGAGTGGAGTTAAGTCAAAAAAGTGTAAAACTGCCATTTTGTTGTACTGTTTCCATGCAGGTGTACTTCACACATTTTTGCTATATAACAAATTCATACCGATACCGATAATCTTATCTTCCAACTATTCTATCTCTTCTGTGCTTTTCTTACACTTTATGCTATAAAGGGGGTGCAATTAAATACTTTTTACACCAATGTTTGTACAGGCTGCGATTAGTTCTAAAAATTGAGATAGAAGGAGCTAAACTTTTGAACGTATCCGCTTATCGAACCTCCAGGAAACGAACCTTTTGAGTTTCCAACCTAACGTTTTTCTGACCTAACGTTTTTCCGACCTAAAAATCTGTAGGTTCGATTAGCGAAATGTCCCAAACTGACCTAAAGATTGGAAATATATTTAGGTTGGTTATTAATATATTTTAGGTCTGTTGGGAATATATTTTAGGTTGGTTAAAGCAACAATTTTAGGTTAGATAAGCATGCATTTTAGGTCGATTGAGCAATATTTTTTTATGTCGAGGTTGAGCAATATTATTAGGTCGTATGAGCAATATATTTAGGTCGGATGAGCAATATTATTAGGTCGGTTGAGCAATATTTTTCGGTCGGTTAAGCAATATCTTTAGGTCGGATGAGCAATATTTTTTACTAATTTTCGTGTCAACTTTTTTTCAGCAGAAACACATAACATGTAAGATAGAGAAGTCGTCAATTATCAGCTTTTCTAAGTTTACTTGTAGTTAATAAATTTATGATTAAAACATAATTAATAAAAAGTCGTCTCCAATTTATTCATATATAATTGCCGACCACTGTATTGAAAATGAGTTATGATAAAATTAGTATTGAAAATTGTACCGATCTGTTGTTTTATTGTGTCAAAAGAGTAAATTCTTAATTTATTTGTAAACGTTCTCTTTTTGTATGAAATATTGTAAAATTATTTTTTAAGGGCCAAGACTGATCGCGTAAATAACGTAATATCTCTTGAGGACTTCTGGAACAAACTTATCAATATCTAAGCGAAGGCATGAATATCCAAAACCTCTTCATTTTATGATGATTATTATTCAACATAAGTGTGATTATGCTGCATCCCGAAAAGGAGATTTAAGAAGGCACATTAAGGGGAAGCATGATAATGTAAGCTATCATGCCCTAAATACGATCATACTGCAACGTACCAGCCCTTAATCTCAAAAGACATACTGAGAGGAAACATGATGAACTTACAGTGCAATGGGTGTTGTTGTGTAGTAACAACAGAACGCAGTTTAGAGAGACATACAATAATTAAACACGAAGGATTTAAACATCCTTGTACTAAGTGTGATTATAATGCAACTGCAGTTGGTAATCTAAAAAGGCACATGAAAAAACATAATGAAGTGTTTTAAATGAATTTTTACGTTTTGTTTGTAACAATTTCAATATAAAAGTCCCTCCGGACAATTCTGGAAGGGAATCTCAAGGTAATTTAGGGCGACCCTAAAAATTGATAATTGAATGCCCAAATCACAGCGGTAGCATTTACAATTATACTGCCTTTAATTTAAATGTTGTCTAATTCCATAAAATAATAATATCTCATTTGACAATTAGATATTATTATTTATTGAAAATATTCCCTTATGGAATCAATATCAAGCGGCTCTCCGCCTCAGACCTGTTTGCATAGAAATATTTTTTAAAATGAGATAATATTGATTATATTTTCATGAAAGCGGACTATCTAAAAAAATTCGATGTCTTTAAAGCTTTATGTTTCTAAAAATGTATTTCCTTGCAAGTGTGAAATATTCAAATGAATATAATATTTACTTTATTTCGTTAAAAAAGATAAATTTTATTACTTGATTTACTGTGCTTGTTGTTATTCATTAAACTACAGAGCGTCCCATATCATGTAGGATTATCTCCAAGCTTTAACGCTAAAATAAACCCTTAATACTCGAAAAACTTATCATTTTCCACAAGAAAATTCTTATAGTAGTTTATTTTATTTTTTAAAATGATTCATTCTAAATTTATTTTCTGATCATGTCCCGGAAATCGTAATTTAGACCCATTAACGGTCTAATATGATGTTGCACACCCGGCCTGTAGTGCGGATCCGGATCTGCAAACATATACGGATATCCGGATTAAGATATTTAGAGGATAGATCTAGGATCCGTATTGATTTAATGGATAAAGCTATAAATCTGCTCTGTAGTTCTGATCTTGGGATTAATTTAATGATGGAGAAACCTGCTAACTTCAACTGTTGACTGTACAGGACACATGAACCGTGTACAGAACAGAAGAAGACATCAAAGAGACTAGTTGTAATTTCAAATGACCTACCATTTAAACAAGAGTCTGTCCAATTCACAATGGTACCCTTGACACTTTTACCTGATCAACAATGTGGAAGATAACGTCGTTTTTCTCCAGCTGAAGTGTTCATTTTGGACAAAATTTTCCAATTTTACTGTAGCAAGATGTTCTTTAGTCACTTTTGCAAAGAAATCACAATTAAAAATAATCAGTTTTGAAAGTTAAAAACATATTTATCATACTTGATCAGGCGAAGCTTTTTAGGGTACCGTTGTGAATCAGGCATTGCCATTTTTGCATTGAAACTGCGCTTACAATTCTTTTTAATATTGAAAGAATTGGTTTTACCTGTTTGAAAAAATATTTCAAATTTGTTCGAATTTTTAAATGGGATTTTTAAAAATTGAAACTATCTCGAATACAATTTATAGCTCTGTTTTTGCGTTGTCTCAAATTATGTAATATCTTACCAATAAACTTGTAAGGCCTCATTGAATATTGAATATTAATTGTTACTTGGCAAGGGGTTCATAACATAACTCTAAGCTGGAAA